CTGAAGTTTGATTTGATATCATAAGTATATATCTTTGGTAATGTGTTTTCAGAGTGTGCTGTGCAGAACTGGGAGTTTAAAGGCAGTTTTCTGGACTGTCTAGAAAGTGGGAGGCCCTGAGTTTAAATCCCAGGACCACAGGAAGAACAAGGTTTAGATGAAGTCAGTAGTAGTTTTCCGAGTCACCAGCAGAGAGCAGTGTCGCGCCAGTTTACCTGTCTGCCTGGTGATTGGGGCTCTGTGCTGGGTGTACCATTGGCTCGGGCAGCTGTGGCTGTGGCCAGTTGCCCACATTGCTGTGTATCTGCAGTAAAGACAAACTCATTTATTCGTTTTCCAGTAAGACATACTTTGGTTGCATTGGGCCCAGTGGCTCAGGCCTGCAATCCTAGCTATTCAAGAGGCTGGAATCTGAGCATCAGAAGTTTGAAGCCACCCCAGGCTGGAAAGCCCTGAGACTCTTATCTCCAATTAGCCAACAAAAAGCCAGAAGTGGAGCTGTGGCTTAAGTGGTAGAGTGCCAGCCTTGAGTGTAAGAGTCAGGAGAGAGTTCAAGGCCTTGCATTCTCAGTACTGGTACATACACATACACATATGTGTGTGCACGCACCCACAAATTCATTGTCAATATCTGCTAAGTCAGGATAAACTGAAGTATTGAAACCCCTCACCCAACCCTCAATCCTGGTGGTAGATTCTCTGAAGCCGGGGTTGGTGAAGTTTTCCTATAAAGAAGCTGATAGTAGCCAGGTGCCGATGGCTCACGCCTGTCATTCTACCTACTCAGGAGGCTGAGATCTGAGGATCATAGTTCGAAGCCAGCCTGGGCTGGAAAGTCCCTGTCTCCCATAAACTACTCATAAAAGCTGGAAGTGGTACAGTGGCTCAAGTGGTGGAGCGTTAACCTTGAGCACAAAGAGGCTCAGGGACAGTGCCCCACCTGAGTTCAAGCCCCAGGACCGCCTCCCTCCCCTCCCCCGAAAAGCCAATAGTGAATACTTGGAACTTGAGGCCCCACCCCATGTCCCATTTGCAGCGATGGTGAGCTCTGCTGTTTTTGTGGGCATGCCCAGCACCGGGCCCAGCTGCCCCTTGTGTTTGTAGTTAAAGTTTTGGGGACACCTGTTCTTATGTTTGTGTTTTGTTCCTGGTCCTAGTCCTTGAATTCAGGGCCTGGGAGCTGTTCTTGAACTTTTGTGATCAAGGCTGGCACTCAACCACTTGAGCCCCACCTCCACTCCCGGCTTTTTGGTGGTTGGAAATAAGAGTGTCATGGACTTTCCTGCCTGGCTTCGAACTGTGATCCTCAGATCTCAGCCTCCTGAGTAGCTGGGAGGACAGGCGTGAGCTGCCGGCGTCTACCTCCCTTTCTTGGTGTTGATGGAGGTGGCGATGGTGACTTCAGATGGTGCGCATCAGATCATTGCACCCACTCGTGGGTGGCCACTGGAGACATGAGTGTCTTGATGGGTCCTGGCGCTTGGCCAATGTGGACAGAGCACAGTCTGTCGTGTCACTGTCTGTGACACAGGAGTCCTTCCTCTCCTTGCCAATGCCACAGCAAGCAGTTCAGAGGTGGCAGATCTGGCCCTGTTTGTGCTGAGCCGGCTCTGGTGGACCGCATCACCGATGGTGGGCAACAGGGGGCAGCTGAGATCCAGGCCCACCCTTGCTCCCTGCGGCTAGGGCAGAGTGGACTCCAAGCCAGGCGGAGCTGCTGGGAGAGCTTCCTCAACCCTCACTCGTCACTGGGAGTACTGGGGTCTCTATCCGGCCTCCACAGCCAGTGCAGGGCTTGTGGGATTTCAGCCCAGGCCCGGAAGGCCACACGGTCAGCCTCGGTGCTCATCTGCCTCCTTGCCATGTCGGGGGTTTTGTAGATACATACATCCCCTCAAGGCTGGCGCCCTCCCATTTGAACCATATGTCCACTTCAGCTTTTTGCTGGTTACTTGGAGATGAGAGTCTCATGGACTTTCCTGCTTAGTCTGGCTTCGAACCGAGAGCCTCAGATCTCAGCCTCCTGAGTGGCTGCGATGACAGCTGTGAGCTCCTGCATGGAGATGCAGTTTATAGATATATGCTTATAGACATATGTTCTGTATGTATTTCTATGTCTCTATCTATATGATAGCGATAGCTACGTCTACATATGTATATATGTTTCTGTATATATATGTATGTATGCTTATGTATATATGTATGTATCTATCTATCTAGAAGCTGACTGTGCTTTATTCCCGTGGGCACATGGCGGTTTTGTTTCTTGTCTGTGTGCTCTTCTTACGTTACTCAGCCAACACTGCAGCCGGGGCACGGCCTCCCTATCTTCTTTCTAAGGTAACCCTGGCTGCTCAGGAGGCTGCAGTCTAAGACTCACAGTTTGAAGCCAGCCTCTGAGATTCTTTATTTCCAATTAACCACAAAAAGCTGGAAGTAGAGGTGTGGTTCAAATGGAAGAGTGCTAGCCTTGAGCAAAAAAAAAACTAAGGGCCTATGTTCAAGCCCCAGTACCTGCATATACACAAAGAAAAGGAAAGGAAAGAGGAGGCTGGGGGAGGAAGCAGGAGGCAGTGGGAGGTAATGTGGAGGGTCAGCCTGGTAGGGTTTTGCAGTCTGTGTAGGAGCTCTCCCTGGGGGGGTCCTGGGTTGCAGGTTTGGTCTGATCACCAGGGGTCTGGCCTTGTCAGTGGCTAGGTCCACAGACGGACCTGACAGCCATGTTGGAAAGAAGGAGGTGGGGCCTGGCTGGAGGAAGTGGGGCGAGGGCATGTCTGAGTCGGGTGTTTGTCTCTGTCCCCTTCTCTGCCCTCTTCACAGCCTGGCTGCGTGGATTTCGCCCCTTGCCTCCACCAGCCCTCTGGGCCTCTAGGTGGTGGGGTCAGCTGACCCAGAGCTGATGCTGTGGCTCCAAGCTTTTGAGCAAGGGAGAACCAGAATGGAGACCCACTTGAGATGAGCCATGACCAGAGGTGGGATAACTGGGGGGACTTCCAGCATGTTCAGCATCACAAGAGGGGGAGAGAACTCTGGCCACAGCACAGATGGGGTCATCACAGGGTCCTGAGAGAGGGCCTGGGGAGAGGTTTGGGGCCCAGTGTCTGAGAGGCACCATGGTCCCCACTGCCCCTGTGGTGAGGTGAGCCTGAGCCTCCACCATCAGGACTGGCAGGGAGAAGGAGCATTCATGAAATTCCCTCTTATTTTTTCCTGAGGCCTACTTCTCAGGTCTGATTTGTTTTTGTTTTCCATGAAGGCTGGGCAGCCCATGTCTGTTCCTACGTGGCAGACATTTTTCTGTCTTCATCTTGGCCAGTTTGTTCTGCCACCTTCATGTGTGTGTGTAAGTGTGCGCATGCGAGCGTGCGTGCATGCACACACATACACACGCACGCATGTGCACGCACAGACCTTGGGGCTTGAACTCAGGGCTTCCACTTTGTTAGGCCGAAGCCTCTGCCTCTGAGCTGAGTCTCCAGCCTCCTCCCCTCGTCCACCTCTTTGGGGGCTGATTATTTTTGAGCCCAGGTGTGTTCCTGGACAGTGATCCACTTATTTCAGCTCCCTGTCATAGCTGGGATTACAGGCGCCCGTCACCATGTCCAGCTCCTTTGCTGGATGGAGTTTTGTGAGTTTTCTGCCCAGGTTGTCCTGGAACCTGATCCCCCGCCCTGCCTCTCCCATGCAGCAGGGATGACAGGATGAGCCACCGGGGCTCGGCCTCATGTGCCACTTGCGCCACTGTCTGTGCTGCTCTGTTTTGGAAACTCTTAATTCTGTCCTCTAGAAGAGGTTAGTGGTCGGTGGCCCATGGGTATCACCCCTCTCCATGTCTTGGGGTGCAGTGGCTCTTTCTGGAACAAGGTAGAACCAGAGCGATGGCTCTCAAACCCCGGGTTACTCACTCACCATCAGGGGATGGACAGCAGTGGCTCCTGCTCTGTGGCCTGAGAAACCCCGGAAGAGCCAGTTCTGACAGCATGTGGGGCCTGCCTCCACATTCGGCAGCTGATGAACCCCAGGGGTTCTGCCTCTGCCTGCCAGCGGCTCCACACTATCCATCGTCCATCCTTCCTTAGTCTTTTTCTTCCCTTCCTCCCTTCCTTTTCCCTCCTTTTCCTTCCTTCCTTCTTTCTTTCTTTTTTTCCTTCCTTCCTTCCTTCCTTTCCCTCTCTCTTTCTCCTCCTCTTTTTCTTTCCCCTTCTCGTGTTGGTCCAGGTCTGAGGGAGGAGGCCTGGGCTTTTGGTCCAGGTGAAGACGGTTGGAGTTTAGAATCTTGAGTCTGAGGGAAGAGGGCTGGGTTGTGGGCTGCTGGCCTGAGGAAGGAGGCCTGGGGTCTGCTGAGGAATGAAGGGTAGGCACTAGAGTCCTGCGGTCTGAGGGAGGCTGGGTTATGCTGTGGCCTGAAGGAGGAGGCTTGGGGCTGCTTCCTTTTCTTTGGGGTGAATTGGCATTGGAAACCCCAGAAATGGGCACAACTTGAAGCCTGGCCCTTCAGTGTCCAGGGCTTGTATCCGTCCTGGGGCTTGAACTCAGGACCTGGGCGTTGTCCCTGAGCTTTTGTGTACAAGGCTAGCGCTCTACACTTGAGCCACAGTGCCATTTTCAAGCTTAGTTCTTTGTGTGTGTGTGTGTGTGTGTGTGTGTGTGTGTGTGTGTGGCGAATTGGAGATAAGAGCCTTATAGACTTTTCTACCTGGGTTGACTTTGAATCTTAATCCTCAGACCTCAGCCTGCCGAATAGCTGGGATTACAGGCAGGAGCCAGGAGATCTGACAGGATCTGTCATTTTCTCTAGAAATGTCCACAGAACGTGCAGAAGGGCGGATAGGACTGACTTGCTGAGTAATTATTTCCTTCTTTGTCCAACTCTGTGTGGCCTTTTATGGAGTACTGCTGATTCCTTTAGCAATCAGAGATGGAAGTCATTCGAGCCCACCCTCCTCCCCAAGCTGACCGGGGTGCCATGGGTCCTCCAGCATCTGTCTCTGTCTCCACAGGAGGACTGGATCTCATCTTCATGCCAGGCCTGGGCTTTGATGAAGACGGCAACAGGCTGGGCCGGGGTGGAAGCTACTACGATGCCTACATCAGGCGCTGCCTCCAGGGCCAGGGGCAGAGGCCCTACCTCCTGGCCTTAGCCTTCAAGGAGCAGCTCTGCCCCCGGATCCCTGTGGGTGACCAGGACATGAGGGTGGACGAGGTCCTCTATGAAGACGCAGACATAGATGACAGCTCCGTGCCTTAGTCCCGGGACTGCAGACCAGCCACACAGCAGTGCCTTCTACCAGTGTGCCTGCCCTCTCACAGCTTGGAAGTCAGGCGTGCTCAGGAGGCTGAGATCTGAGGAGCCTAGTTCGAGGCCAGCCCACACAGGGAAGTCTGAGAGACTCTTTGCTTAATAACCAAAAAAGCTAGAAGAGGAGCTGTGGAATCAACTGGTAGGGCACCAACCTTAAGTGAAAAAGCTAAGGGACAGCACCCAGGCCTTCAGCTCAACCCCCAGGGCGAGCACAAAACAACAGCAACAGCAGCACAAAGGGTGATTGTGGGCTGCAAATGTTTGGGTGTAAGTGTGCGGGTCCTAACATTAAATTGTCTATGAAATCAGTGGAATGTGGGCCCTGGGATTAAAGTGTGTGGATCCCAGTGCACTCTCCTGGTGTGAGGCGAGGCTCTGGGCTTTGTGCTGGGCTGGGCTCTGGTGAGGGGTCACACGCTGTGGCGGATGCCATGTTTCCTCACCTCCTTTGAGCCCCTGCACACATGGGGGGATGCAGTGTGCATGCGCTGATCATGCTGGTGTTTAGTGTGGGGACAGAGTTCCCTGGGGATTCTGTCCTATTTCATGAGGACTTTATTTGCCCAGCCAGAACAGCATGCTCCATACCAGCTCCTGCTGCTTCCTGGATGGAAGCTTCCTTCCTTTGTGTGTGCTGGCACTGGGGCTTGTACTCTGAACCTTGCACTCTTGTTTGTCTTTTTTGCTCAAGACTAGAACTCTACCACTTAAGCCACAGCTCCCCATGTGACTTTTTGCTGGTCACAGATCTTCCTGCCTGGGCTGGCTTTGGACCTTGATCCTCAGATTTCAGCCTCCCAAGATCCACCAGTGCCTAGCTAAAAACTCTGGATTTTTAAAATTTTTTGTGCCTGTCCTGGGACTTGAACTCAGAGCATGGGTGCTCTCCCTTAGCTTTTTTGCTCAAGGCTAGTGCTCTGTCAGTTGAGCCACAGCTCCACTTATGACTTTTTGCTAGTTAATTGGAGGTAAGAGTCTCATGGACTTTCCTGCCCAGGCTGGCTTTGAACCATCATCCTCAGATCTCAGCCTCCTGAGTAGCTGGGATGGCAGGCATGAGCCTCTGGTGCCTGACTGGGTATTTCTAAAGGTTTATTTTGAGCAATATTCATGTATCGCTCCCTAGCATCTTTCCCCTGACATTGATGCTGCAGGGCGAGCAGGCCAGACGCACATGTTCTGGAGAATGTCCCCTTGTCCTTGCCTGCAGACTGTCTGGAGCGCTGTCTGTGCCATGCGCTCCCCTGAGCTCTGGGGAACCGCGCCCCCAGGGTCACTGTCCACGCTGCTCAGCCTGCCCTCATTTCTGCAGTGGGAAGAGCCAGGGTTTCGTTCCAGGATGCATTCTGTCTTTTCCTATTGAGAAAACCTTTAAAAGGTAGATGGACATTTGTTGTGATATACACGGTGGGGGGGGGGCAGCGGGGGGGAGGGGGATGGGAAAAAGAGGATTATTTAGTTATAAAGAAGAATGAAATAGTGTTAGAGAGAGAATTATTTAGTGGGGTTGGAGGAGTGGCTTGGTTGAGAGTCAACGTGTCAGATATTCAGTTTAAGTCCCAGTCTTGCACCTAAAAAAAGATAAGAGAAAAAGAATTATTTAGCTTTAAGAATGGAATTATATTGCTTGCAGGGAAATGGATCTAATGAGATTGTCATGTGAAGCAAAGTAAGTCAGGTCCAGGACAAAGATCTGGTGCTGTGGCTCATGTAATCTCAGAGGATCAAAGTTCAAAGCCAGCCTGGGGAGGGAAGTCTGTGAGACTTTGGTGACTCCTGTTAGCATTGTCCCCACCTCTGGCCCTCATATCCACCCTGCAGCCCCCCCCTGCCCTAGAGTTCCCGGCCATTCCGCCCCCCCCCCCTGCCCCGCAGCGACCTGCCACCTGGCTGGGGGCAGATCCCCACGTGCTTCCCTCCCTCTAACAAACCGTAGAATAATCCGTTCCTGTGCCTGCCTGGCCACGGAGCCTAATAAACCCCCACACGGCTGGAAGAGGGGCCGTGGCTGGGGTGGTGGCGCGCGAGGCTGAGCAGAAATGCCCGGGGGTCCACAGAGCCGTCCGTCCCGGGCCCACGGCGCTGGGCTCCCCGGGCCAGGCTTGCCCTCGGGATCAGTTCCTGCCAGACAAGATGTCCTCGCGGAGCCCCGTCGCCGGGGAGCCGGCGTCCCCGTCTGTGGGCCTGCCCCTTTCAGCGCCCCGCCTGCAGCGGGGTCTCACCCGAGCCCCTCAGCTCCGCCGCCGCCTTCCGCCAAGGGCCTCCAGCAGTGGCCGCACGCCGACTTCCACGTGCCATGACAGCTTGGCTGACCAGCTGCCGGCTGCCTCCTTGTCCACCGTCTGCCTGTTCCCGCTCTGCGCATGCGGCTCCCACCCAGGTGCAGCCCGCAGACATCTGCCTGTTCCCGCTCTGCGCATGCGGCTCCCGCCCAGGTGCAGCCCGCAGACATCTGCCTGCTCCCGCTCTGCGCATGCGGCTCCCACCCAGGTGCAGCCCGCAGACATCCGCCTGTTCCCGCTCTGCGCATGCGGCTCCCGCCCAGGTGCAGCCCGCAGACATCTGCCTGCTCCCGCTCTGCGCATGCGGCTCCCACCCAGGTGCAGCCCGCAGACATCCGCCTGTTCCCGCTCTGCGCATGCGGCTCCCGCCCAGGTGCAGCCCGTAGACATCTGCCTGTTGCCGCTCTGCGCATGCGGCTCCCACCCAGGTGCAGCCCGTAGACATCTGCCTGTTGCCGCTCTGCGCATGCGGCTCCCACCCAGGTGCAGCCCATCGCCTGTTCCTGATCTGCGCATGCAGCTCCCACCCGGCGCATCCCACAGAGAGCTGCTGTTTCCTGAAAAACCCACCTCCCAGCACTTCTGTCCAACCCCACTCGGCCGGGTAGAACACTTGGCTTGCTGGTTCCACCGAGAACGAGATGCCTCTTTGGGCAGAGGTTTTCATGTTCTGTGTGTGTGTGTGTCCACGCGAGCACCCCCGTCTTGGGGCTTGAACTTGTGGCCTGGGTGCTGTCCCTGAGCTCTTTTTCTCAAGGCTCTTAACCCTACCACTTGAGCCACAGCTCCACCTCTGTTTTTCTAAGCGGTTCATTGGAGAGGAGAGTCTCACGGACTTAACTGCCAGGGCTGGCTTTGAACTGCGATCCTCAAATCTCAGCCTCCTCAGTTTGACAGGCGAGAGCCACAGCGCCTAGCTTGCAACTCCTTAAAGGGTGACGGTCTTGTATGTACCCAGTACCTGTCAGCGTGGCAGCCACAATCCTCAGAATTCAGTCCCTTGAGTAGCTGGGATGACAGGAGAGGCTCACAAACTTACCATGCCTAAGTGGGAAGAGAGTGGGTGTGGGGTGTGGTGGTGTCTATGGCCTAGGTAGCAGGTATCCTCCAGAGGCCAAAATGCCCTCAGGCATTTTGGGTTGGGGGTGTGGGGGAGAGAAGTATACCAACTGAGAGTGAATTACTAAACTGAGGCACAGAGGCTCACTTAAGTTCAGACGGAGGCAGCCGGCTCTGATGGCTCACACCTGTCATCCCAGCTACTCAGGAGGCTGAGATCTGAAGATTGTGGTTCAAAGCCAGCCAGGGCAGGAAAGTCCGTGAGACTCTTATCTCCAGTGAACCACCAAAAAGTCAGAAGTGGAGCTGTGGCTGTGCCAGCCTTGAACAGCTAAAGCTAAGCAAGAGCTGGAGGCCTTGAGTTCCAGTCCCAGTACTGGCGTGTACATGTGATTGATAGCAGTCCCCCTGCCCATCCTGCCCATAGTGGCCGCAGGGGCCAGCGCCAGGAGCATGGCCCAAGGCACAGGAATGGCCTGCTGAGATCTCACTTGTGTCCTTCTGTAGCACACACCAAGCTGGGGTGTGGAGGAGGGAGAGCGGAGGGAAGGAGGGAGAGCAGAGGGAAGGAGGGAGAGAGGAGGGAAGGAGGGAGAGGAAGGATGGGAGTGAGGATGGAGAGAGGAGAGAAGGAGGGAGAGGAGGGATGGGAGTGGGGAGGAGGAGGGAGAGGAGGGTGGGGAGGAGGGAAGGAGGCACACAGCTTGCTTCTCAGCCTAGTAGGGTCCCAGTGCCCATTTCATAGACCACCGAGGCCGAGGCCTTGCCCCAACGTGAGCACCCGTGAACCCGGCTCAGGTGTGCCCCATCAGCTGGAGTCAGCAGGCATGGCACTGTCTCCCGTTCCTCTTAGGAGCATAGCGGCTGGCCTGAGCCCTTGGGGTCCTGGACCTGAAGCCTGTGCTCCCCAGGTCCCAGCACCCACAGAGTGGGATTGACTTAAACTAGCCTTTCTTCCTCCTCCCTCCCTCCCTCCCCCCTCTTTCCTCTCCAATCCCTCCCTCTCTCCTTACCCTTCCTCCTCCCCTTCCTCTCTCCCTCCTGCCTCTCTCCTCCTTCTTCCCTCCCTCCTCCCTTCTCTCTTCTCTATCTCTCTCTCTTATGAAACCCCAAAATTCATCTGGCCTGGAGTCAGATGACTCCATTCAGACTGACTGACTAGTCAGTCAGTTAGTGTCTCTGTCTGTCAGTAATCAGACCAGAATTCCATCTGCTTCTCCAAGCCCATATCACTATTTCCTTTCTCTCCTCTCTCCCTTTGCTCCTGGCTCTCCTCTCTCTACCACCCTGCCCCCCACCTTTCCACCTGTCTCTTCCTCCTTGCCCCCCTCCTTGTCCCCTTCCACCTGGAATCTTGGGAGACAGGCCTGTGTGCATAGGAAGAGTCTTTGATGAGGATGCTGCTGCTTCTACCTTGAACTCAGTCCCTGAGCGCTATTAACTTTTTCACCCAAGGCTGGGAAGGGCTGCTATCTAAACACAGACTGGAGGTGGGGGGCACCACCTGGCTTCCCAGGTGCTAGCTAGCACTAGGCCATTTCTGGCAGGGGCACCCCAGCTGCTCAGAACAGGCCAGAGGGGCATGGATGCCATCTTCTTCCTGTGGAGCAAGAGAGGAGGGAAGGAAGGGCAGGAGGCCGGGCAGAGGCACAGGAGCTGTGCACAGACTGGCTAGACTAG